CTGCACACCCTTCAACTGACTATGAACTGCCGAGCTGTCACCGCCGCATTCTGGATCTCCCCAAGAAACCACAGATCCATCTGCCAAAATGGCAGCAAATGCAAAGGAGGTGGCCTGAAGCTGTAGCACTCCCTTCAGCTGACTCTGAACTGTTCTGCTGTCGCCACCATACCCCTCGTGGCCCCATGTGATGATCTTGTCACTTCCGCAAAACCAGTAAGCAAAAGCTCCACCGTCAGTTAGGGGGCATATCTTTGTCCCTGTCAGATTTGGTTGCAGCACCAGAGCTGTGACCTGATCTCCCGTTTGCAACCCTGCATTCTGCAAAGACTCCTGGGGGTCATCCAGCACACGCCTGTCCGCGGTCAGAAACCTGAGGAATCCGCAATGAAACCTTTGCTGGGCCAAAATCTTCAAGTCGCCCACCGTGGAGCCTTGATCAAGTGAAAAGTCCTCAACCCGTCCGCTTGGCAGAGTGACGGTCAAGCACACCATGGTCCGGGTTTGAAAGCAAAATATGTGTTGGGTGGATGTCCTTTAACCCACAAACCACTACCAGCTTGAGCAAACTCATCAGCGCATCCCAAGATATCATTGAAGGGTTTATAGGGTTTAGGGTTGAGGGTTGAGGGTTTCGGGCCGGGGGTTCCCGATGCCCCGCGAGAGCGCAAAGGCTGCCGCACGTCAGGAAGCAGGTGCTGTGTTTACGCTTGTGCAGGGCTTCGGGCACGTCAGGAAGCACCCTAAATCCTAAACCCTAAACCCTAAACCCTAGCTTCGAGAGCCTGTAGGCGCGCTAGAAGGGCGCAGGATTTTTCGCTTAGTTGTGTGCACGCCGAGCGAGACCCAAAGAAAAAAGCAAAACACGTACGACGAAGTAACTTTTTTCGATACGTTAGAAAAGAGTATATTACTCTCCCTTCGAAGTTAATTTCACCTTGAAAGTTCGTAACAAAAGAGTTGCAGCATTCATTGTTGCCGAGGTCTGGAATCCTCTAGAAGGAAGAACTGTGGATTTATTGAATGTAAGTATAGTCGAATTGACTTTCTTAGGTTCTGAAATATCAACTCGCAATTAAGGTTCGCAATGCAAATTTCTATCTTCAAACCCTTGCGCGATGTTCTGCCCCCCCCCTCTCCACATGACATGACCCCCCCGATTCGTTGTTGCACATTGCCAAATAGAATGCCCCAGCGCTCGGGCGCGGATGTAGGAGACAAATCCTTGCTAGCAGTACATCCCCTCCCCCTAATACTAAACCCCCCCCTACCCCCTAATATGAAATACCCCCTCGTTATAGTTATAGTTTATTGGGGGTTTTTAATGTTAGGGGGTTAGGGGGGGGTTTAATATTAGGGGGAGGGGAGTACATCATATCATTTGCACCCACTTCCGGTCAACAACTGCACGATGTCAGAGTGGCCTCGATCGTTCGCACAAGCGAGAGCTGTGTCTCCCAGTTGGTTCACCATGCTCATATCAGCAGCAGCTTCCAAAAGCAGCTGCGCAAGTTCAAAGTTGCCCAGGCAGCATGCGTCCATTAGGGCCGTGTAGCCCTCACGTCTCTGCAGGTCGTTGCTGGCGCCAGCTTCTAGAAGCAGACGTGCAACCTCAATGTGGCCCTGGCAGCAAGCCGACATTAGCGCCGTGTAGCCGCCGCCTCCCTGCAGGTCCTTGTTGGCACCAGCTCCCAAAAGCATACGCGCAACCTCAATGTGGCCTCCATCGCATGCCCGAATGAGAGCTGTCCGGCCATATTTATGAATCCTGTTCACATCCGCACCAGCTTCTAGAAGCACACGCGCAACCTCGATGTGGCCGCGCTCGCTGGCACCCATGAGAGCTGTGTTCTGCGAATCCTTGTCGGCTCCGGCCTTTAATAGACTGTGGGCGATCTCAGCATGGTCTCCCCGACATGCCACGATGAGTGGTGTGAGGTCATATGCATCTGCAGTCCTGTTCACATCAGCACGAGCTTCCAAGAGGATGCGTGTGGTTTCAAGCTGGCCTTTTCCGCATGCTCGAATGAGAGCTGTCCAGCCATCTTCGTCAAGCCTGTTCACATCCGCACCAGCTTCCAAAAGCATGCGTGCAACCTCAATGTGGCCGCGCTCGCATGCCCGAGCGAGAACGGTGAGGCCATCATCCTCATCACACCGATTCACATCAGCACCCTCTTCCAGAAGCCAATGCGCGACCTCCATGTGGCCTCTTGCGCATGCCTGACTGAACGCTGTGAGGCCAATCTCGTCGCCCGGCGAGTTCACATCAGCGCCAGCTTCTAGAAGAAGATGCCCAACCTCAATGTGGCCTTCGTAGCATGCCCACATAAGAGCCGTTTTGCCGTCAATTCCTGTGAGCTCCTTGTTGGCACCAGCTCCCAACAGCAGACGTGCAATCTCAACGTGGCCTGCCTCACATGCTCGAATGAGTGGTGTTTGGTCCAAGCGAGCACGACAGTTTTCGTCCCTACTGTTCACATCCGCATCAGCTTCCAAAAGCATGCGCGCTTCCTCAACGTTGCCTTCGGCGCACGCGCTAAGGAGCCCATCCGCGAACTCCGACTTTGATGCTGCACTGGAAACACGCCGAAACACTAGCTGCACTTCGTTCTGGCAATCCAGCTTAGCAGCATCATCCAAACAACAGTTGCATTGCACCAGCGATTGCATGCACAATGGGATGCCAAGAAGATCATGCAAGTGGTGCTTCAAACTTCTCACAGTCTCAGATGTAAGGGTATCAAGCTGCACTGAAGCCAGCTCTTCACCCGACAGACTCAAAACGCGGATCATATTGTCCGAGAGGTGGCACTAACGCTACATCTGCGTCGGTGAATGGATCATGCAGCATTTGTTCTCCTGCATTGCATCTTATGAAAACATGCAGGTACTGAAGCATTACCAGAGACAAAGCTACAACAACATCAAGGCCACATCACTCAAGAAGCCCCGTGGAAGTTATTACATGGCGGCGGCATGCATTGATAGCATGTTTCATTGCGTTTTGCTTAGATTCAATTTCAAATTCCACTCGTTCGTTGGTTTTCTGGCCTCTGCTGGGGTGATTTTGTTCGCCCGCGGGACTGTCTTATACTATTGTTCTGTCTTGATAACTCCTCTACATTCTAGGCTTTAATCAAAGCGCCGGATCAACCCGCTTGAACATCATTCTTGGTACCTTGTAGAATCTTGTGCAACCCCTTGCTCTGTGTATCTCAATCTTCCCAACTTCCAACGCTCCATAACTGTTTCGCCGTGCAGAACCCCGCCGCATCGCGACAACACATCTAGTGTTTGTCACCCAGCTTGTGTGTCCTTCCAGTACTCCCGAAATACATCAAAATGGGCCTTGACTCTGAACAGGTACGGCAGCAGCGCATTTACCAAAAAGACCCAGTAATTAAAAGTGCTCTAGTCATCTACAAGCCTGCCCCTGGATGATACAACCCTTAAAAAAGCTTATAAACCCTTTAAACAGGGTTTCCATAAAACCCTAAACGCTAAAAGCCCTAAACCCCTTGAAGCCCGAAAACCCCTCAACCTTCCGAATCCCAATGGAGAAAACCCTTAGAGTACCCTTCGTCAATGTCTCCCCCCCTCCTAATCCGAGATACCTGTTTGATGAGGGGGAGTGAGCTATTTATCAACATACAATACTTGGTAGTAACCATATTATAATAAGAGCACCCTTTTGTGACTTTACAAGAGAACCCCGAACCAAAAAGAAGGGTAAAGGGCATCACGGGGATACCGAGCAACAATGAGAATCTGAAACACCATTAGGATGGCCCTTAAAACCCTCTTAAACCATATTCCTAAATATGGCCCTGAACCCTAAACCCTAAATCCTAACCCCTAAACCCAATAAGGGAAAATAGAAAATTTCCCAAGGGCCTGCCGAGACCATGAACACTTTTTTTTCAAACATCATCCCCATCCTACACCTGAACGAGCCCAAGATCCCGAAGATCGATCCTTGGTTTAAAAGAGGGTTCAGGGTTTAGGGTCTATAGGGTTTAGGGTGTTTAGGGTTTAGGGTCTAGGGTTTAGGGTTTAGGGTCCAGGGTCTAGGGTTTGGGGCTGAGGGTTTAGGGTTTAGGGATCCCCAGCCGGAACTTGTGAATCGCTGCTGGCTACGCGGATGTTAGTCGGCGGCAACCTGGCAAAAATGTCTTGTATCTACCAAGGAGCGAAAGCTCTGAGAATGGTACCGGGTTGGGTACATCTGAAACTCCCTAAACCCCTAAACCCTAAACCCTAAAGGCCCTAAACCCTACTGACTGCACACTACTTGTTTTCCACAGAAGTGGCACCATCGAATTCTCGGCCGAGAGGCTTTCACATGTTTTGACTACCTCCACTCAGCAATGAAATCCGAGAGGGCCGATTCAGACCCCGAGTTCTCGATGTTGCTGGGCAAGGCTTCCAACATCGCAGCAACTTCTTGATCTACTTCATCTTGCACGGAAGACATACTGCTTGGGCCGCGTGTGGTCACCGGCCGAGTAACTTCTTGCAACACACTGACAAACGCCAGGAAGTTGGGTGCATCAATCATGGACGGCGCCACAGTCAAGGCCTTGACCAGGCTGCTGAGGGTCAGTGGAAAAGCGGCCAATTGAGCGTGTAACTCTTTAAGGGCTGGATGCTCTAAAGCTTCCAAAGGATCCTGGGAGATCGGAGCATCCTGTTGAGTTTGGACTTCGGCTTTTGCACGGTCCAGGTCCGCGATGGCCTCTGCATACTTGCCCTGCATGCGCTTGGCATCGCCTCGCTTCTCCAGCGCGAAGGCGCTTTGGGGCTCCAGCTGCAAGGCACGGTCCAGGTCCGCGATGGCCTCTGCATACTTGCCCTGCCCAAGCTTGGCATCGCCTCGCTTCTCCAGCGCGAAGGCGCTTTGGGGGTCCAGCTGCAAGGCACGGTCCAGGTCCGCGATGGCCTCTGCATACTTGCCCTGCCCAAGCTTGGCATCGCCTCGATTCTCCAGCGCGAAGGCGCTTTGGGGGTCCAGCTGCAAGGCACGGTCCAGGTCCGCGATGGCCTCTGCATACTTGCCCTGCCCAAGCTTGGCATCGCCTCGCTTCTCCAGCGCGAAGGCGCTTTGGGGCTCCAGCTGCAAGGCACGGTCCAGGTCCGCGATGGCCTCTGCATACTTGCCCTGCCCAAGCTTGGCATCGCCTCGCTTCTCCAGCGCGAAGGCGCTTTGGGGCTCCAGCTGCAAGGCACGGTCCAGGTCCGCGATGGCTGCCTTCATGGATGTGAGCGTGTCGACTGCGCTAGCAAGTAAGTTATGCATGACCTGAGTTGCTTTGACATGATCTGACAAGAATAAAATGGGATCACTTAAGCAACTAGTTATACATATATATATATATATATGCATATCTACGTATATGTTGTATAGATCAGGGCTGTGAATATGTAGCGAAAATAGCTGCAACTTGGAATGGCCAGGAACCTCTGTCAACAATTCATAAGGGTCTTTGCACTCGTCCACCAGTTTTTCATTTTGAAGGATGTCCCGAACGCCTTGGATGAAAAGCCCGGACAGCGCGTCATCGGCTGAGCTGCACAAGCCTTTTATGGCCAAAGCAAAGTCTTGGAAACTCGGCCTCTCTTCCCAGGGCGGCTGCTCATCCTGTTTCTGGGACAACTTCGACATAGCCTCTTCCAAACCTGCTGGCCATGTCAAGTCTTGCCAGCGTCTCTCCATTGTGATCTGAAGACCACTTGTGTTGCGCAACAAATGACTATCTTGAAGCTCCTGACCGTGCTGAAAAACGCGGATAGGTCCCGCCCAAATAGCTGGTCTTCTGAAAGCAACGTTGCGCACTTTGGCAACAACCTCCTTGATTGCTTTGACATCCAGCCAGATGGGACCATCAAAGGCAGGTATTTGTTTATGGAAATCTCTAGCAAAGCGAACACGATGCGAGACGCTGATGGGAACAAGGGCACTGTTCACTAACTCCACAGATTTGGCAAACATCCAAGCAAGGGCACTGTGCGGACCATGCTTTCCGTTTTTGCATTCTTTCACGTACAATTCAAGACGTGTGGCTAAGTCATCCCGTTGTTTGGCAGACAGCGGCTTCACCGTACAGATTACAATCCAGATGCTGCCTGCTAGGATGAAGCCTGCGCTGTCAAGTATACCCATCTCTGACATAAGATCACTAAGCTTGTCCTGCAACCGTTGCCGCTGATCCTTTGTGAAGCTTGCTCCATCAGCTCCTTCAATGCACAAACAGGATGCAGACACCTCGGAGGCTTGGGCTGCTTGGGCAGTCGATTGCTCTGTCGCGCTGTCTTGATGTAAAATCTGTCTACCCTCTTCGTAAGACAGGAGGGCAAGGAACTGTCGGAACAGCACAGCTTGATCTTCTTGATTCACTGAATCAGAGACCTTCCTCAGTGCAGAATACAGCTTGTCTCGAGTCTTTGCCGGTAGACCATTCCAACGGTCAAAGCTTGATTTGTCTTCAGCACGTAGGCTTACGTCTTCATCTCGTCCTTCACATTGAAGCCACTCCTCCAATGTCTGAAAAATATCCAATAGTTCTGAATTGGGCAGCACACTCAACTGAACGGATAAGTTTGTAACTCGGTCCCCGAAGCTAGCAACCAGATCTGCCATGTCCGAAATTGCCTGCCGCGCTTGCGCAAAACTCAGTGCAGCATCCCCCTGCTTCATGTTTTCTTGCACGACTTCGAAGACGTGATGAGATAAAAGAAAGGCGCTCCTAAAGAGCTTAAGCTGAGTCTTCTCCATGATGTTGCGAAACCCATCTGATGGACCATCGTTCAAGACGATACTGGGAGTCCTGAGTCGATTGCTGCCCAAACACAAGTACTGGAATATCAGACGGGAAAGATGTGAATGAATTGTTGATTTTGCATGCTGCAACCACAAAAATGAAGCACGCCACGCATGACAGCAACAACTTTTTGTCCATGCTTACTCTGGGCACACTTAAAAAATACTGGTTCGAAAACAACCAAAATGGGATTTCGGATCATGAACATGCTTGGGGTTCCGAGACCAGGATTCGAAGAACCGTCGTCAAGGTGTGGTTCAATGTGGCCCATTGACAATTGAAGAACATCGTCACGTACAAATCTTAGCAAAGAATTCAGATCACGGGGCTTCTTTCGCAAATGGTATGCAAAGGCAAATCCGAGGAGGAATGAATCCACCACTTTGCAACCTTCTGGGCATGCATACATCTTGATCACCGTTGCATCTTCAGCAATCTGTCGGAGGTCCGGCAATGTATCTCGATCTGACTTTGGGTCCTTTAGATCATCCTGACAACAAGAGAAAATGAACCCAACGTCCAGGGCACGATAACTCGATGTTTGTGACAAAACTTCTGTCTCAAGAGGGATCCTGTCTTCCCCTACCTTGACCCACGTGAAGCCGTCGTGAAGGCTGCCATGTCCAGCATAAAAGATTACCAGCTTTGAGTTGTTGGTCAAGTCGGCGACAGCTTGCTGAATGGTTGCGCGGAAAGTCGTCACCGTGGCTTCCCGAGCGATGAGCTCATGTACCTCGTGAAACAGTCCAGATGCTTTGGCAGCGGCTGCCACTTCGTCAGCTTCCCGCTGCACTTCATCCAGGTCCTCTTGCAATCCAATGACTATACATACGCGTCGCATGATAATGGTCAGGGCCAGCTGAAAAAAAGGATGCCACCAGGAGCTGCAGGATCAATGAAATCTGGTCTCATCTGCCATTACCTAAACCCTAAGCCCTAAGCCATAAACACTAAACCCTAACCCCTAAAGCGCTGAACCCTAACCCCTAAAGCGACACTCTGATATTGATTGCACCGTAGGCCTGCTGATGTGTGTCACAAGCTGAGCCATTGAACCACCATCGCTATCCTGCAACCTGCCCCCGTGCAATACTTCCCTCATCTTCGATCCTCTTCTGTCCGAATGGTAACATGTAGTGGCAACCAGCTTTTGAGACAGGATATTGCTACAATGTGAGGACTTGGTGCCAAACCGGCTAATTGTCTGAAGGCATGGGCAGAGCTTACCCAGCCGAACGGCAGGAAGTACGACAGTAGGACATTTCCCGAAACCTTAAACCCAAAACCCGAACCCTAAATCCTAGCAAATCTGTCGTGGCCCATATGCAATCAGTTGCAAAAACATGGAGAAGAAAGTGTTTGTGTGTGTGATTGATATTGTTAGCAAGAACACTCGGGAGCCAATTTATAATAACTGGGCCACTTTTTTCGGGTCTTCCCGTCGTTACTAAACTTAAAGCGGACGCATTGTTTCCCTTTTTACGTCGCACTTTTTGTCGTTCGCAGAGCCGCCCTCCTTCAGCAGGAATTCAAGATCACCCTGATTTTGTTCACCCTAGGTAGCCCTACTATGGCAGCCCAAACGTGGCCCCTCAATTCCCCAACACGAGTCATCCTCCGCCCCAAAAAACACACAACACACACACACACACACACACACACACACACACACACACACACACACACACACACACACACACACACACACACACACACACACAACACAAAAAAAAAAAAAAAAACAAATACGTCGACTTTTTTCCGGGCACAGGGTCTCTAGGGCTTAGGGTTTAGGACTGTTCAGGGCCGCTTCATAGCTTGGAGAACTCCAATATCCTAATTTGGGGAATAACTCATGAATTGCAGTAGGGCTAGGGTTTAGGGTTTAGGGTTTCGGGTTTAGGGTGTAGGGTTTAGGTACATTCGCGACTTGAGGGATATTGGAGGCAGGGATGTTCAAGCGTTGATGAAGCTTGGCGTGGTTTCGGGCCCACACCAACTTTTCACCCCTGAGAATCAGATTGGGAGGCCCTCAAGCCTTCTGTGAAACCTTTGAGCAGGAGCCTGCAGAGCAACGGGTTTAGGGTTTAGGGTTGTTTGAACCCTGTAGCAGGGGCTTGAAACAAGCGCTGGCATCCCTAGATTCCTTCACTGCTCTGTAGGCGTATTTCCTGCTTCTTGCTTTCGGTTGTGTTGTTGCAGAGGAAGTTTCCCAATTTCAAATTTGGACTTCTGAAAAATTAAGTGCCCACATCGGAAATCCTGAGGAGCTCATTCGCAACATCGATGCCCAATGCACATGCCGTTAGACATCAATGAAAAACCTAAACCCTAAACCTAAACCCTATATAAACCCTGTGCGATAAACGATCACTCCGAGTGACCCAATGACATCCCCGATTTTGGGTCAGTCGCTTCGCAAAGAAAATCGCCATTGTCCTGAAGCTACGTGGCTATGCACTACGGGGCCAGTCCACGCCATTCAAACCAGGAACGTTCTTCAGAGCTTCCTTCAGCTCCTCCTCCGGAAAAGCGAAATCTTCCATCTCTCCCTTTGCGTACTTCTCCCAGGCAAACATGTCGAAATGTCCATGCCCGCACCTGTGCGAAGATGATCGGCCCTGTGTAGAGGGTGCCCTATGTAAACCCCAGGATCCTAACGCCCACACAGCCATCTATCAGAACATGTCGGCCTAATCCACCCGACTGTCGATGAGGGAGATGAGGGAGCCCATGAAAACTATGACCCATCTATTGAAGGGCAAGTAGGAATTTGGGTCAGCCCCAAACTCATCTAACAAATCCATTCCGGGTCAGGGTGGGTATGGCCCCTTAAAACCCTAAACCCTTAACCCTAAACCCTACGTTTGGGCTCACAGCGTGGAAGATCCGCCGAGTCGCATGTTAAACAGGATCACCCGCGGCTCGCCCGCAGCAGCTGCCTGCCGTGCTTCTTGAAGAGCGCCTGACTGAGGTTCAGAGCACTTTGCATTCATGGCCGGAGGCGGTTTAGGGTTTAGGGTTTAGGGTTTAGGGTTTAGGGTTTAGGGTTTAGGGTTTAGGGTCTCGCTGTTAAGACTCCCGGAGATCCGAACGTCCGAAAGAGCCTCCAGTGCTTTAGACTGATCCTTCACATGGGCAAAGCAGGCAAAGCCTTTCCAGGTTTCTTTGGCCCTCGTATCCTCAGTCCCCCCCCGCCTTCAATTGCATGGGTGGCTTCGGGCGCAGGTAGAATCCCCTCAGCTCGGAAGAAGGACGATCCCGCGTCAAAGGCAGCTGTCTGTTGCACGGCTTGCGCCTGGATGCATGGGGTCAAAAGGCAGCAGGCACATTGGGATACTTCCGAAACAGCTTCCAAACTAAGATCCTGAACTGAGACCGTTTACCAAAGCTTGTCATCTGATTCTTCAGCCGCCCATCAAGGGCGATCCACTTAAGGCTGACCCTGAGCCATGTTATCCCTATCCAGTTGGACTTCCATGTTGGGTCATGGATAGTGTATAAAGGCCCTGAAGACGAAACCGTGAAGTCATGAAGTCATTCAGACCCTGAAGCTCGGGGTTTGTTGAAGTCGGAATGCAATTTGGGCCCCTGGCCAAGCCTTCAAACCCCAAACCCTAAACCCAAACAACTTCAAACCCTAAACCCTAAACCTTCAAGCCCTGAACCCTAAACCTTCAGCAAACCCTAATTCCTATGAGCCCCAACGCCAGGAAGGCGTAGCTTGCATGCTGCGCCCCTAAACCCTAAACCCTAAACCCTAAACCCTAAACCCTAAACCCTAAACCCTAAACCCTAAACCCTAAACCCTAAACCCTAAACCCTATAAATCCTAAACCCTCAACCCTTAAACCCTAAGCCCTAAGCCCTGAACCCAAAAAACTCTGAACCCTAACCCCCCCCCCCCACCCCCCCACCTCGATGGTTCCCAACTCCTTGAGGTGGGAGATGACCGGGGCCATGGAGTGATATCCTCAGAGCTTTGGGGTGTCTCGGGTGTTTAGGGTGTTTAGGCCAGGGCTCAAAGAAGGAGTCAGCTGGAAACCTTCTTCCTCATTAAGACCCGACGCGCCCCCTAGCAGCTCAAAAGTCTCAAAAGCCAAACTTTTCCGCTTTTCAGCTGAGTCTCTCAGCCCGCCAGAATGCACGGATGGCGGCATGAAGCCAGAGCCGAGTGTGTGAGCCTCCACGCAGAGCCCCGGAGGGCAATGCTAAGCCCTGGGTAGACACTCAGCAATACGGGCATTTCCCAAAACAGGGGGATATATATATATATGTAAGAGGGACCTTTAGGTACTATGTGATTACTTTCCTTTCTTGGAGAAGGAGGTTAAATAGTTTAGATAGTTTAGATAGTTCAGGAAGCCCCTGAACTATCTAAACTATCTAACCTCGATTTTGGGAAAAAAGGAGGTTAGATAGTTTAGATAGTTTAGATAGTTTAGACGAGCCCCTAAACTATCTAAACTATCTAACCTCGATTTTGGGAAAAAAGGAGGTTAGATAGTTTAGATAGTTTAGATAGTTTAGAAAGCTTCACTTCCCTCTGGGTCGTCCCCAGCCAGAGGTTAGATAGTTTAGATAGTTTAGATAGTTCAGAAAGCCCCTGAACTATCTAAACTATCTAAACTATCTAACCTCTTTCCGGGGAGGCCCCCAGGAGGTTTGAAACTTTCTAAACTATCTAAACTATCTAAACTATCTAACCTCGATTTTGGGAGAAAAGGAGGTTAGATAGCTTAGATAGTTTAAATAGTTTAGATAGTTTAGACGAGCCCCTAAACTATCTAAACTATCTAACCTCGATTTTGGGAAAAAAGGAGGTTAGATAGTTTAGATAGTTTAGATAGTTTAGATAGTTTAGAAAGTTTCAATTCCCTCTGGGTCGTCCCCAGCCAGAGGTTAGATAGTTTAGATAGTTTAGATAGTTCAGGAAGCCCCTGAACTATCTAAACTATCTAAACTATCTAACCTCTGGCTGGGGACGACCCAGAGGGAATTGAAACTTTCTAAACTATCTAAACTATCTAAACTATCTAAGCTATCTAAACTATCTAACCTCGATTTTGGGAGAAAAGGAGGTTAGATAGTTTAGATAGTTTAGATAGTTTAGACGAGCCCCTAAACTATCTAAACTATCTAACCTCGATTTTGGGAAAAAAGGAGGTTAGATAGTTTAGATAGTTTATATAGTTTAGATAGTTTTGAAAGTTTCAATTCCCTCTGGGTCGTCTCCAGCCAGAGGTTAGATAGTTTAGATAGTTTAGATAGTTCAGGAAGCCCCTGAACTATCTAAACTATCTAAACTATCTAACCTCTTTCCGGGGAGGCCCCCAGAAGGTTTGAAACTTTCTAAACTATCTAAACTATCTAAACTATCTAAACTATCTAAACTATCTAACCTCGATTTTGGGAGAAAAGGAGGTTAGATAGTTTAGATAGTTTAGATAGTTTAGATAGTTTAGATAGTTTAGATAGTTTAGATAGTTTAGATAGTTTAGACGAGCCCCTAAACTATCTAAACTATCTAACCTCGATTTTGGGAAAAAAGGAGGTTAGATAGTTTAGATAGTTTAGATAGTTTAGAAAGTTTCAATTCCCTCTGGGTCGTCCCCAGCCAGAGGTTAGATAGTTTAGATAGTTTAGATAGTTCAGGAAGCCCCTGAACTATCTAAACTATCTAAACTATCTAACCTCTTTCCGGGGAGGCCCCCAGGAGATTTGAAACTATCTAAACTATCTAAACTATCTAGCCTCGATTGTGGGAGAAAAGGATGTTAGATAGTTTAGATAGTTTAGATAGTTTAGACGAGCCCCTAAACTATCTAAACTATCTAACCTCGATTTTGGGAAAAAAAGGAGGTTAGATAGTTTAGATAGTTTAGATAGTTTAGAAAGTTTCAATGCCCTCTGGGTCGTCCCCAGCCAGAGGTTAGATAGTTTAGATAGTTTAGATAGTTCAGGAAGCCCCTGAACTATCTAAACTATCTAAACTATCTAACCTCTTTCCGGGGAGGCAGCCAGGAGGTTTGAAACTTTCTAAACTATCTAAACTATCTAAACTATCTAAACTATCTAACCTCGATTTTGGGCAAAAAGGAGGTTAGATAGTTTAGATAGTTTAGAAGTTTAGACGAGCCCCTAAACTATCTAAACTATCTAACCTCGATCTTGTGAAAAAAAGGAGGTTAGATAGTTTAGATAGTTTAGATAGTTTAGATAGTTTAGATAGTTTAGAAAGTTTCAATTCCCTCTGGGTCGTCCCCAGCCAGAGGTTAGATAGTTTAGATAGTTTAGATAGTTCAGGAAGCCCCTGAACTATCTAAACTATCTAAACTATCTAACCCCTAGCTGAGCAGTCCTCCCTGAATCGGTTTTCCAAAAACTTACAGGGGGACACTGCTTGCGAGTTGTCATTTTGGGAGCTCAGTTTTCCAAAAACTGAAGGGGGACACTGCTTGCGATTTGTCATTTTGGGAGCTCAGTTTTCCAAAAGCTTAAGGGGGACACTGCTTGCGATTTGTCATTTCGGGAGCGCAGGTTTCCAAAAAACTTAAGGGGGACACTGCTTGCGATTTGTCATTTTGGGAGCTTAGTTTTCCAAAAGCTTAAGGGGGACACTGCTTGCGATTTGTCATTTTGGAAGCGCATTTTTCCAAAAAACTTACGGGGGACACTGCTTGCGATTTGTCATTTTGGGAGCTTAGTTTTCCAAAAGCTTAAGGGGGACACTGCTTGCGATTTGTCATTTTGGAAGCGCATTTTTCCAAAAAACTTGCGGGGGACACTGCTTGCGATTTGTCATTTTGGGAGCTGAGTTTTCCAAAAGCTTAAGGGGGACACTGCTTGCGATTTGTCATTTTGGGAGCGCAGTTTTCCAAAAAACTGAAGGGGGACACTGCTTGCGATTTGTCATTTTGGGAGCTGAGTTTTCCAAAAGCTTAAGGGGGACACTGTTTGCGATTTGTCATTTCGGGAGCGCAGTTTTCCAAAAAACTTTCGGGGGACACTGCTTGCGATTTGTCATTTTGGGAGCTTAGTTTTCCAAAAGCTTAAGGGGGACACTGCTTGCGATTTGTCATTTTGGAAGCGCAGTTTTTCAAAAAACTTTCGGGGGACACTGCTTGCGATTTGTCATTTTTGGAGCTGAGTTTTCCAAAAGCTTAAGGGGGACACTGCTTGCGATTTGTCATTTTGGGAGCGCAGTTTTCCAAAAAACTTACGGGGGACACTGCTTGCGATTTGTCATTTTGCGTTTGCGTCATTTGCCAGCAAGTTTTTGGGAGCTTAGTTTTCCAAAAGCTTAAGGGGGACACTGCTTGCGATTTGTCATTTTGGAAGCGCATTTTTCCAAAAACTTAAAGGGGAGACTGCTTGCGACTTGTCAGTTTTCCAAAAAGCTTAAGGGGGACACTGCTTGCGATTTGTCATTTCGGGAGCGCAGTTTTCCAACAACTTCAGGGGGGACACTGCTTGCGATTTGTTATTTTGGGAGCTTAGTTTTCCAAAAGCTTAAGGGGGACACTGCTTGCGATTTGTCATTTTGGGAGCTCGGTTTTCCAAAAACTTAGAGGGGGACACTGCTTGCGATTTGTCATTTTGGGAGCTCAGTTTTTCAAAAATTTGCGGGGGACACTGCTTGCGATTTGTCATTTTGGGAGCTTTGTTTTCCAAAACTTAAGGGGTACACTGCTTGTAAGAGAACCCTTTATGTATTATTTGACCCGTGGCCTTGGTGAGGATCTTGGTCTGTATTCCTTATTCCTTATTCAATATTCCTTATTCCTTATTCCTTATTCTCTATTCCCTATTCTCTATTCCCTATTCCTTAATCCTTACCCCTTGTTCCTTACCTAGTCTAGGGTTTAGGGTTTGGGGTTTCTGGGTTTAGGGTTAAGGGTTTAGGGTTGAGGTAGGGTTTGGGGTTTAGGGTTTAGGGTTTGGGGGTTTGGGGGTTTAGGGGTTTAGGATTTGGGGTTTAGGGTAGCTCAGGGTTGAGGGTTTGTGGTTTTGGCTGAGGGTTAAGGGGTTTGCGGTTTAAGAGTTTAGGGTTTGTGATTTGGGGTTAGGGTTTGGGGTTTAGAGGGTTTGGGGTTTAGGGATTTAGGATTTGGGGTTTAGGGTTTGGGGTCGGTTTGGGGGGTATTTAAGCGTCTCCGGATTTAGCGGTTTAAATGGCTTAGCTTTGACTTGAGGAGTCGGGCTTTGAGGACGGTAGAGGTTCGGATTTAGGGTCTGAACCATAAACTCAGGGCCTAGGCCGCCCCCCTAGCGCTTAGCCCTTCGACCTCTATGGCGAAAGTCGACCCATGTCGCTTGCCCGCCTCCTGCAGCCAGGAGGTCGGTAGCACCCACGATGGGCCCGGTACCGGAGCAGGTTCTTTCGGGGACCAGTACTGGTCCCCTTAATAAAGTAAATACCCTAAACCCCAAGCCCTTCGCCCTGCTGGGGGTGGCTGGCCGTTTCGGGGGGGGTACCCCAAGGCCCCAGGCCAGGAGGACCCGGACCCCTCACCGCAGCGTGCCAGGCCCACCCCTGACCCCCCAGGCCCCCCCTGGCTTTCCCTGGCCCCCGCCTGGCCCCCCTGGCCCCCCCTGGCCCCTGGCCCCCCCCTGGCCCCCCCTGGCCCCCTTTCCTCCCAAACCGCCCTCCTGGTTCTGTTCCTGGCCCCCCCTGGGCCCCCCTGGCCCCCCCCCCTGACCCCCCCTCCCTGCCCTTCCCCTGACCCCCCCTCTGGCCCCCCTGACCCCTTGCCCCCCCTGACCCATCCCTGGCCTGGTCCTCTTTGGCCTTTCGGCCCCTCTCAGCTCAGGCCCCCCACTGCCTGTGGCTGCAAACCTTATTCTTGGGGAATGTTGTTTTTGAAAGTAAGCGATTGTCATGAGTTTAGGCCTAAACCCTAAAAGGAATAGGTTTGGGTGGTTTTGCCGCCTCGGACGGCGTGGGGTGGGAGAAAAGTTTTTGATGGCCCTCCAATATCGGGCCAGGAGCTGCTCTGCGCATTTGCCGAGGCATTCGAGCCGCTGCTGCATCCTAACCTTCACAGCATCTACGCCCTATCACAGCAAACCCTAAACCCCAAACCCTGAACCCTAAACCCTAAGAGGGACTTTACAATGCTCCTACCCTCTTCCGTTTTGTGTGGCATTTCAAGACTTTGGCAGGGCGCCAAGGGGCTCCCGG